ACAAATGCAACAAGATCCAAACTGAATGCATGATATCCTCAGGTAATACAGTCATCTTTTTATAAACAGAAACCTGATCATATCATCCTTATGCCTACTTTTATAGCTCGTCATCTGCCTTAAAATATTCTTGCCTCATCCTGGTGCCAGTCTCACTTCTGCTCTGTACACTTCAACATGTCTTATCTTCAGTCCCCAAAGGGGACCTCACCTTGAGCCTTCCAAATGTTCTCCCTTCTGCTGAGAACACTTCCTCCCCTCACTTGCCAAACTCACCCTCCACTGGCTAAATGCTCTTCAGCCCTCACATCTCAGATTTCACACCACTTCCCTGGGAATATCTTCCTTGATCTCCACCGCGATTAAGTCTCCCTGTGAATGGTCCCAATGGTCCTGCCCTTCCCCATGACACTCATCAACATCAGTCACTTACAGCAGCAGCATCTGTCCTGCTAGATGACACACTTTACAAGCACAGGGATTACACGTTTTTCTTCCTTTGGTATTCTTGAATCCAGCAGAAGACAGAATTAATCACAGTTGACCCTTGAACAACATGTGTTTGAACTGCATCCACTTACACATGGGGTTTTCTCCCACAGTAAATACTGCAGTACTACACCATCTGTGGGTGTATGGGACCCACAAATACGGGGGAGGGGGGGTCAATCACAAATTACAGGCACATTTTTGACTGTGCAGAGGGTCAGCACCCCTAAACCCCTGCGTTGTTCAAGGGTCAAGTGCAAACGAAAAAGCAACAAGATACCCCATAACCAAGCTCATGGAGACAGAGAACAGACTGGCGGTTGCCAGAGGTGGAAGTGCGGGGTGGGAGAACTGGTTGGGTGGAAGAAAAAAGGGAATAAAATAAATGGATTAAAGAAAGATATGTCCTGAAAATTTGCATTCTCTTCAAAAGCACCTTTTCTTTTGCCAGATTTTTCCTGGCTTTTCATTTTTATAGTTGGAGGAGTTCCAGAACTGCAAGTTTTGCTTACAATTGAGCTTGCTGTGCTCGGTCTGAGAAGAAACCACCTTATTCCTTTTATTCACTTGTTAGAATCATAAAAAGGCACAGGCCAAGGAGAACTGGGCAGTATGAGACAAACGGCACAGTGCTACTCTGTCAAAGGCACCATCTTAAACTGAGAGAACTGTGGTCAAGTGTCACAGCACCTTTCCCTCCCACCATGTCCACTGGCATCAACCTCCCACCCTTTTCCATTTATCGACTGCTTCAACTCTCATTACAGCTGGGAAATGAGGACTCCTAGTTAAACACAGCTGATACACACCAGGCAGCAAGCTCCATTTTTTTCTGAAACTCCACTGCAATGACAGTGAAAGATTTTGAAAGGGGAGCAGAAGTCAGGTAAATGCTCAAAGAGGAGTGGAGCACATGGAGTAAAAAGAAACTAAACCATTATCTTCCCTTGGAGCAAGTCCACAGAAAAGAGCCAGAACTAAAAAAATCAAGAAGCAGCTCAGCAGTGAAGTTATTCAGACTGGAGTAAATGCCAACAGAATCTTTTAAAAGAACTGAAAGTAGCTGCCCCCAGAGAGAGGATACGAGGAAGGAGAACAAAGGAGTCCAGGATTTGGTTTTTTCTCTTTTTTTTTCTCTTTTTTAAACAAGATTTGTAGAAAACTTCAAATCTTTAATTTGCAAATATATACACAACTTTAATAAAAAATTAAATTTAAAACATAATTTTTTTAAAAGAAAGTAACGGCAAAAACACAGTGGGATATCCAATTGCTATCACAGTAAGACTCTTTGGAGTGAAACAGGTGACTACAAGTTACATATTCATTCACTCAGACATCAAAAATGAAGATACGAAATGAAGGGAAACTGCCAACACGAGTGCTAACATGGAGAGAGCTTCCAAATCTCACTTGCGGTGATTACACAACTGGCCAGGGCTTTTATTTATCATTTATCAGACACAGAATTTTAAAAAATCCAAAAGCATAAGATGACTCATAGCAAATGTAAAACCAGCGAGGAGTGTTTACCCGACTCCAAGGAGTGGCAGGCAGAGGGACTCAAATGCTCCTTACATGGACTTACAGCCCCACACCCCCTGAGCACCACCTTCCACCGTACTGGATGCCTCCATGTTCTCAGGCTTTCCATGGTTAAATCTTTTAAAAGTGAAAATTAGAACTCAATCAAGAACAAAACTATAATAACAACTATGAAAAAATACACCTGTATGTGTCAAAGAGCGGAAGAGACTATCTCATAATGAAAAGAGTTGTTACATAACACCACTTTTAGAATAATCCCTTTGCAGCATTTAATAGTTTTCCATTAAAAAAGCTTTAACATACCTAGAGTCGGGTAAAGGTTTAAAAAGCAAAAATAAAAAATAAAAAACTTTATTCCAACTCTCGAGCAGGACTACCATCAAGTAAACAATCATCCACCCCACCTTCCAGGGCGTTCCGTTCATCCACCCCACAAAGAAATGAGGAGCCCTCCTGCTGGCCCATTCTTACCTGCACTCCAGCTCCTCACACCAGTCTTTATCTCGGTGTTTATGTTCATGCCAAGGAATGATCATCAAGGAGTCACCGCTACAACTTAAAAAAAAAAAGGGCATAAGCATTTAAAATACATGTTACCTCAATGACTGGCTACACAAGGAACATGGTGCAAAAGTATGTAAATAACCTTAAATCTCCACAATTCCTGTTTACGGGATGTGAAGTGGTACATGATACGTATCGTTACAATATGTAAATGCAAAATACGAAATGGCTGATTTTTCTTTGATCATAACATGGTTCAAAAAGAAAACGAAAATTCAAAACAAAAAATGAGGCAAGAAACTAAAAGATGGTATGGGTTCATTCATATATTCTCAAGTATTTATGAAAAGCCCGTGTTTCTGTTCTTAATGCCAACATAAATGGTCCCTTTCCCTCAAAAGCTTACACACTTCCCGCGATCACCGAAATGTTCTACAACTGTGCCATCCGCTACAGAGACCACTGGTTGTATGTACTTTTACAAACCACATGAAATGTGACATTGATACTAAGAAAAGTTTAATATTATTTAATTTTAATTAACTTTATTCAAAATTTAAATAGCCACATGTGGCTGGTGGTAGCCTAGACCTAGAGGACAGGTAACAGCAAGAGTGAAGAAATAATTTTGCAGGTTTAAAACTTCACTAACAAATGACAGAAGGAGAATCTAAGAGGCAAAAATAACTCCTGATTGGACGGAGTTAAGAATAAATTAAAAAAGGAGAGTGAGGTAAAGACAGCAGAGTAGCGCAAAGCAATGTGCTTCGAATAGAGGCCAAAGGAAACAGAAATACATCTGCTTTTAACCAACTATGCAGTCTTTGGCACATGAGTCTCAAAGTGAAGCACTTCAAACATTATCTCTAAGGTACCTTCAGCTCTAATGTTCCATAAATCCATAAAAACTCAACTGAAACATCCTGAATTAAGAATGAAGACAAAAATTCTAAAAACAAATTTCAACTGCCTTGCTTTTACAGTTCCATAAATCATCTTATTTCATCTTTGAGTATCACAGTAGCATTCTCCTAAAATCTATCATAGCCCCAAGAAAAGGGCTGCGCTTTTGTGTATTAGCAGGTTATGTTTTGCACCTTCTTATCTTAGTAAGTTATGAAACATGCCTCGTGCAAGAAATTACTTCAAGTGTTTGAAAATTATGTATGTAAAGAGATTAGTCTTCATGTAAAAGGTTGTAGGAGCCCATTGTGGGGTTACAAGGAACAGAGAAGCTAAAAGGGTCTGGAAATGAACAGGGTGGATTCGTCAATCAACAGCATCCCCTTTGAAGTCATTATTATCGGTGCAAATTACTTGAAGTCAAAGTTCCCCATTAGGTATTCATAATAAGAAATGTATTATATACTATTTTTCAAAACAGTATTTTACCCACTTTTTAGCTGCCATGTACTGTCCTAGCAAACTGTGTGCCAGGGGTACATTTTCGAAGGCCTGTTGAGTTCACATTTTTAAATTTCAGAATCATATAGACAATTACTTAGAATGGATGCCACAATCACACTATTTCATTTGTCACCAAGTAGAAACCTATTTTATTTTCTTCCACGTCAGTAGCTAACATGTTATCACAGATCACTGAAAAGAAAAAAAGATACCATTTGGATACAGTGATGATAATAATGCTCACTCTTCCACCATAAGAATAAATTGTAGCAATGAATTGAGGGACAAGGGAAAAAAATAATGTAGCCAACTATTACCGCTTTTTCTAATTAAAGCAGACACGGTTCCATAAGCCAAACCCAAAATGTTTTCCAAAAAATCTGAGAAAAATGTATCATAAGTTGAGATTTGTATTTTCTACACAAAGTACATACTAGATACAAGGGATATTACTAAAATGATTAGTCATGGTGTGGGACTCTCAGCAAAATAACATTTATTTGGTATCTAAAGACTAGAAAATTGTAAAGCTGTGTCAAGCTTCAATGAACAGAAATGGGTAAGAAAACATCTATGTTTATCAAAACACCCATTAAAGACAAGTTCGGCTCTGGCTCAGTCCAAAGAGGAGGCCTGAAGAGTCCTAGGTTAATGAAGTATTTTTGCTGCATTTTCAAAACACAGCACAACTCAATGTTTCTAAATGTGCTGATCACCACTGACATAATAAAAGTACTAATAGTAACACATGAGCAATGATCAGCAACAGCATGAGCTTCCATATTTACTACAGATGAGGCAGGATGAAGGGCTTTTAATACACAATACCTAACTTAGTCCTGCCTATCTAATAGGGGATATTAACTTCCTCATATTATACTGAGAAAATCCAGGCCCAGGTTAGCTTGCCCCTCTCCTCATGGTCAATACAGGACAAAGCCAGGGATTTAAACACAACTCGACAGGTAGAATCCAAAGCTTACCCCTCTAGTTAGTAGACGGCCACCGGGTTAGACCTGCGCGGAGCAGGCAGAAGGCCATGTGAGCCTTCTCAAATCTGAATTCAGGCAACGCAATATGGAACTTTTACGTGTGTATTTAAAGCACACATTAACTGAGATACAAAACCAGCCTCAACACCAGTAGTTACTAGTACCAGTTTCATATAATTAAGGTACCAAATATGGCTTGATCTTAGGTCCGATCACCAATACTTAACATACAAACAAAAAACAAAACACAAACAAAAAAACTTTTTGCTCTTTCATTTTCTTCCATAATGTTTCTACAAAGGAAATTATTTTAAAGCAAACTTGAGGAGTTTAAAATGGTTGCTATAAAAACATCACATCTTTATCACGACTCAAATGATAGCTTTTAAGAAATAAATGGGACTTGTTCCCCAGTCAGAATGTAAACCCCTTAAGGGCAGAATTTTTGTTTCTTTGTCTTCTGCCACATCCTCAGTACCTAAAATAGTGCCTAACATTCAGCAGACTCTAAAATAATGTGCCAACTGAATGAGTTAACTGACAGCACAACAAAGGTTTTTTTTAAAGTGATCTCATGAATATCAAGAAAATTCAAAATTGGAATACAGTAGTAAAAGGGGACAGTTTGTAAATTTAAAAGAACAGATATGTCAAGGAGGTACATGGATATGTAATTTGTCAATCTAAGAGAACAAGAATAATTTCTTAATATAGTTTATTATCCTGATGAAAGGGTAAACTGTACTGGAGATGGTACACATCTACAATCTAGATAATCTGACACATAATGTTACGCTTAAGGGGGAAGAAAGATTTCAGAATATATATTTCCCTAAATCTGACCATTCTTTACACTTCAAAGTAATTGATCATTCTTGTCATTACCTTTTTAAAAATCCCCAAATTTTAGCTACTTATTCTTTCATAAGGTAAACAGAATGATAGAATGCTTAATAAAATTCAGAGGAAAACTTTTACATTAATTGTGTTCACAACAAAAATATTAGTCATGTAAACTAATCACTAAAGAGGGTATGTGAAATTGTGGTTCAAAAAAATCCCAGAAAATATAACTGCTTCTTCTAAAGAACCATAGAGAGTCTGGTTAGTTGCAAAGCTTACACTTTGAATCTAAAGTTCTATAAACACAAAACAACATTTATATATGCTTTATTTCATCTTTTTCTTCTATTTTTTTCACTTTGCTAGGGAAGACTTAAAATTTAAATGTATCATACCCACTAAAAAAAAGAGGCACATGGTAAACTTAAATTAACTCTTTACAAAATAATGGCTGCTTTTGCTAAATTTTAGGATTCATTATATTAGAACCCTGTTCATTGTTTTATTCCAAACAATAAACTTTGCTGGTGTCATTTAAAGGTAA